CACCAAACAAACAAGCATTCCAGTCCAAATGGTCCTTTCTTTCGTGTGTAACATTACTCATGTGCTTATATATAACATTCACTGACGGGACACTACACTAGCTGTGACTAAACAAACAGGCAGGGAGACAAGTAGGCAGATTGCTGACAAAGTAAGTTTACCTTGTTCTGAGGCAGGAGTTAACTCGATGAAACTTCGACATTTCTCACCTGAATACATAGAAAAAGACTCCAATAACAGGGTCTTCAATTATTATTCTGCATTTGGTGTGCCTCTAGGATCTATAATAGATTTTTTGTATTAATCTCTGTGTTTGAGATGTGTCTCTCTAGGCCCTTTAATAGGGTCTGTATTCATCTCTGTGTGTGAGGAGTGTCTCTAGGGTCTATATTAGGGTCTGTATTAATCTCTGTGTGTGAGGTGTGTCTCTAGGATCTGTATTAGGGTCTGTATTAATCTCTGTGTGTGAGGAGTGTCTCTAGGGTCTGTATTAATCTCTCTGTGTGAGGAGTGTCTCTATGGTCTGTATAAATCTCTGTGTGTGAGGAGTGTCTCTAGGGTCTGTGTTAGGGTCTGCATTAATCTTCCTTACCATCATAGTGTTTTTCACAGGAGTGCCAGAATCCCGTGTGAAAGTATCGGAACATGTATTTATCCTCTCCCGTTTCCCAGATGTAATGGACAGCGTTGGCCAATTGTCTCTGTCGGATTCGCGCTAGCTCCTCCTTCGTCTGTCCAGGTGACGTCCCATTGGCCGACAGGGGTGGGGGGGTGGAGCCTGCAGCTGTGGCATTGCTGGGCGTGTCCTTGATGACCGGGGCACTCAGGGTGCTCAGGTTGCCTGGAGACAGAGGAGGGTGAAGCCAGCCTTAATGATCTCCTGTTCATCCCGATGGGAAAGACGGGATAGTTGCCAGGCCGACGGAGTTGGAATTCGCCCGTCAGGCTTTCTGTGCGGATAATGGACCAGGACCAGCGGGAGTCCATTCGGGTCACCTGCCGCAAGGGAGCCTGCCCTGGAGGCCCGGATCATCAGGAGCGTGGGGAGCCCCGAACGCGAGGTACAGGAGCGCCCCACGAGGAGGGAGAGAAGCTACGTCAGCGATCACCCTTCCTTTCCCAACACTCGCCCCCCTACGTCTCCCTCCTTCCTCTGCGTCTCCCCACCCCTCCCCCTCCCTGCCCGCCCTTTTCGAACCTGGGCTCGCGCCGGTGCCGGGCGCGAAGTCCACCAGGCTGTGGCCGCAGTTCTTCGTCTTGACGGGCGACAGGCACAGGGGCTTGACCACCTTGTGGGTGCCCTCGCACCAGTAGCTGGTGGAGAAGGCCAGGATGGAGGTGGCCAGGGCCAGGGAGGTGAGCGTCAGAGACAGGAGGGAACGAGCGCGCCGGGACATGTGGTCCAGCATCTTCCTCTCCGTGGCTGGACCGGGGCTAGCGAGAGGAAGAGGAGGAGGGCTGGACAGAGGGAGAGGAAGAGGAAAAGGGGCCGAGCTGAGGTGAGGAAGGAGGTAGGGGAGGGGCTGAGAGAGAGATGAACTTGTTGTCTGTCTTCCGATTTCCCGTTTCGGGGTCCACCTGTCAATCTAGCAGTCCGGGACCTGTGGCGCTGCCCCCCTCTCTGTGAGCCGATGATCTAGACCCCTGAGACGGGCACCTCACCTGAATACCCTCCCTCTCTCAAGACATGGTTCTTTCTGTCCTGTCGTTCCTCACCCCCTGGGGAAGGAGCCGGGGAGTGAAACACAGCAGAGGAAGGAGAGAAGGGAATGGAAGGAGTGAGGTGAGTGTCACTGTCAGACGAATCAGTAGTAAACCTGTCCTTCTTCCTGTCTGTGGTAAGTAAGGTCTATATTAGGGTCTGTATTAATCTCTGTGTGTGAGGAGTGTCTCTAGGGTCTGTACTAATCTCTGTGTGTGAGTTGTGTCTCTGGGGTCTGTATTAATCTGTGTGTGTGAGGTGTGTCTCTAGGGTCTATATAAGGGTGTGTTTTAATCTCAGTGTGTGAGGTGTGTCTCTAGGGTCTTTATTAGGGTCTGTATTAATCTCAGTGTGTGAGGAGTGTCTCTGAGGTCTGTATTAGGGTCTGTATTAATCTCTGTGTGTGAGGAGTGTCTCTAGGGTCTGTAGTAGGGTCTGTATTAACCTGTTTGTGTGAGGTGTGTCTCTGGGGTCTGTATTAGGGTCTGTATTAATCTCTGTGTGTGAGGAGTGTCTCTGGGGTCTGTATTAGGGTCTGTATTAACCTGTTTGTGTGAGGTGTGTCTCTGGGGTCTGTATTAGGGTCTGTATTAATCTCTGTGTGAGGAGTGTCTCTAGGGTCTATATAAGGGTCTGTATTAATCTCAGTGTGTGAGACGTGTCGCTACAGTCTATGTTGGCAATATTTTATCTTTGTTTCTCTTTCTCTTCTGTCAGTTTTTGTCCCCTCTGGCAGTTTCCTGTGTTGACACCTGAAAAAAAAATACAGGTAAACAAACAGCAGCTAAATACTTTTAAGAGAAAGACATAGAAAAACTCATAATTCATAGGTCAAAGCTCAAGCTCACAGGTCAGCTTCATCACTACTACATTACCAGCCCAATCACTTTGCCGAGTAGGACTGGACTGCAGCTGTTGAGTCAGCCTGTGTGTTATTAGCTCGCCAGCGCCTGTCTGCTACATAAACCAGACTTTCCAGTGCTGGAGACATGGCATGCTAAAGTAGTGCTTTATTAATGTAGCTGCGTTTTCAGCTGAACTGAAAACAAAAACAGAGAAGAAAAACACAGCTGTGACACAGAGTATAGCGAAAACAGATGTGTGCCCCGGGTGTGCACACACAGAGAGATAAAAATCAAAAAAAAAAAAAATGAATATCATTGGACTAGCACCATTTTAGAATAATCAAACCTAGCCAATAACATATACTGCCTTGTGTAAAGATATGTTATAATAAAGACATATTGCTTACAAGATGTAAATATATACAGTTCAATTCCTGTCTAATGTGTATTTCTACACATGCATATGCACTGGAAATGTGTTATGTGGGAGTTTCGGCAGATGTGTGTGTTTTTCAGAAAGTCTTGCAGCTGAAGCTCAGATCTTGGGATTAATCTTCTTACTCCTCCTCCTCACAATCTGTCTGCTCATCCCTTCCTCCTTCTGTTTCTTTGTCTCTTTCTTTGTCTCTCCTGCTCGGACACACTCCTGCAGCAGCTGGCTGCTCAGGAATTTTTCCCATTTTTCTCAAACAGCCGCCAGTGGTAAAAGTCACAGAGCAGCCCAGTGCCTCCACACCACACACGCCGTGAGAAATCACACACAACCAGAATTGTGCTGCTACTCCTGCGTGGCGCTGACACACGAGGCTGATTCAGTGAATACAACCGTGAA